ATATTTTTTTTTTTGTGAAATCCGAGTTCTTTTTTTTTTTTTCTAATGTGTATTGTTGTGGTTTAGCTTATTTTGAATTGTGTTGTCTTCATTAGTGAATTGTGTTGGTTTATGTTGTATTGATTAGTGAATTGTGATGGTTTGTGTTGTATTGATTAGTGAATTGTGTTGGTTTGTGTTGATATAGTGTATATGGTTTGGCCGAGTGTATATGTTTTTTTGGCCGAGTGTATATGGTTTGGTTGAATTTGGATTTTAGCCGAGTGTATATTGTTTGGCCGAGTATATATGTATGTGTATATGTTTTTTTGGCCGAGTGTATATAGTTTGGTTGAATTGTTTTTTTGGCCGAGTGTATATGGTTTGGTTGAATTTGGATTTTGGCCGAGTGTATATGGTTTGGCCGAGTATATATGTTAGTGTATATGTTTTTTTGGCCGAGTGTATATGGTTTGGTTGAATTGTTTTTTTGACCGAGTGTATATGGTTTGGTTGAATTATTTTTTTGGCCGAGTGGCCGAGTGTATATGGTTTGGTTGAATTGTTTTTTTGGCGGAGTGTATATGGTTTGGTTACCTTGTGTAGGATTGAAATGGCGACGCCGGCGTCGGGCTCGCAATATGACTATCAACCTAAACATCTTCACCCGGGACCTATACAAGATAAAATGCTATATCGTCAAACAAAACATAAGTCACAAGCTGTCTATGAGAACAAGATACCGGACATTAAAACATTCCGCCTCAAGGGCCGTAGATACGACAGCGATTTTTGGGCGTTATACAAAAATACGGCACCGGAGGTTGTGGAAGTCATTAGGAGAGCCGGTTTTGAGGGGATCATGAAAGTAGGGTACAAAAGAGTTGATCTCGACCTCATTACCGCGTTGGTGGAACGGTGGAGGCCAGAAACCCACACTTTCCATTTCAATTTCGGAGAGGCGACTGTGGCGCTACAGGACGTCGAGGTCCTGTTTGGTATTCGGGTGGATAGTGACCCGCTGTACGGGACGACAGTTAGCCGGACTGCAGATGAAGGGCGGGATCGATGTGAGGCTTATTTGGGATTCCGGCCGGCGACTGTAAATGGCTAATGTGTCAATGTTGGTATTTTTGAAGATGAGATGGGCCGCGCACTACCTGAGAATTCCACTGTCCATCGATTCGAGCAAAGGGCCAGGACACTTATGTTGCATTTTATTAGCAGTTTCATGTTTCCTAACAAGACGCAGAACACTGTCAATCTACAGTTCTTGGCCCAGGTTGAGGATTTGGATCAGTATAGTCGATACAGTTGGGGATCGGCACTGCTGGCTGGTTTGTAATCTGGACTGTGCGAGGCATCACAGTATACCATGCACGACGCCACTGGGTGTCTATATTTGCTACAGGTACGTATTAGTTTTCATTTTGTGTTTTAATTATTTTTCGCTTTCGACGTTATAATTTGAAGTTTTAACATTATTATTGCAATTTACTAGGTATGGGCGTATGAGCGGATCGAGAGGATCGCGCCACAAAGAAAAAGAGTAGATTATTTGATTGATGAGACCGCTCCATTAGCTCAGCGCTACGTATTTTCAGTTCAAAATAACTCAATGTTTATTTCTATTTGTTTCTTATTCATTTATTTCACTAATTCAAATGTACCCCTTTGTTTATTAAGGTGGGAATGTAGGTACACCTAGGGCGACGCCCCAAGGAGCAGCACTCCACCTTTTAGAGATCAATTAACAAGTCTGCGTGTTGAAGATGTAAGTACTTGTAATTTGGTATTTATATTTACTTTGAGATCAATTACCCCTTTCTTTTTGTTTCGGTTGTACCATCTAATGAAATTCTTTTCGTGCAGTTTCGGTGGCAACCATATACACATGTCTTTCATAGACTCCCTGATTTCTGTACACAAGGCCAAGCCATTTAGACGACCAGGTGTTGAATGTTCTGATGGGCTATTAGGGAACCCCACGAGTCGGGCAGAGTCGTAAGACAATTTGGATACATACAGGATGTTCCCAAGCGCCCCATGATTAAAGATAACGCAGCATTCCTTCTCGATCACGCCCACAGTATGTCTGGGTATCCTAGCAATAATTGGGTGGACCACCATTCCGCAGTACGTCATCATTGGAATAAGAGAGAAGAGTTCGTGCTACAAGATTTGGAGGAAGGAGATCCTGGTTCCGTATATGAGGGGTACTATGAATAGTTCATGGTGAACACTGTCAGACTAATATCCAATCCCGGTAATTATGAACCTCAAGGATACGAGACTTCTTCGAGCCGCGTGAAATTATATGTGAGTTCATTCTAGATTTCTTTTATTATTTCTTATGTTTTCATTTTATTTTTTTTTCATTTTTATTTTTTTAGAATTTTACTCTCTTAATTAACGTCCCAATTTCTTTTCAGGGTGAAGTATTGAACAACATTCGCGTGAGTACCGAGAGGTTTAGAGGAAAACGAGAAGATGATAATCTCCTAGACGAAGAACTTGACAAGCATTTGGATGATATCATCAATCAAACACATGCTGCTTTAACCTTGGGCGCAAATGATGAGATGGAGGTGGAGGATACCCAAATCCTGGTTGATGAAGATCCATCTTTGCCCTCACAACCTCCGCCGGGTAAAAAAGCGAAACCGTGGTCGAGAGATAAGATTGGAGGAGGAAGAAAGAGGAAGGTCACAATCCCCCCTCGGACATCGCAACAACAAACTGAGGGTCAACAAAATGAGGATCAAGCACATTGTTCTCGAGGCTCGCGCATCCAGGTCGAGACTCATTTTGAAGAAGCTGGTGGACCCGAGACTCAATTTGACCTTGGTGGACCCGAGACTCAGTTTGACCTTGGTGGACCTGAGACTCAGTTTGGTGGACAGTCGCAACCACAATCGGGAGTCAAATTTCTCACCATGGGGGAGTCCCAATCCCAGCCCCAAATCGAGGCTCAGTTTGGTGGGCAGTCGCAACCACAATAGAGTTCAATACTCACGTATCTTAAGAGGGGAGACAGGATCCGGCAGGGCCCAAACACATACACTCCAGATGCGCACAATAAAGGAAAAGGGAAAAAATGAGACATTTCATGTATTTTGCACATTTAAAGTAGTTTTTGTATTGATTTTTGTATGAAACTTGATTTGTTTTGTTGTTAATCGAATGCCGTTTATTGTTTTGTTGCCATTAAATTTCTGTTTTCCAATGTTTCATTGTTGTTGGTGCTGTAAACAGACCAGTCCAATTTTTTTTTTCAGTTCTGACAAAGACTCGGATTTGCGAAATCCGAACTCAGACTTTTTGTAAAGGATTCGGATTTCAGAAATCCGAGTCTGTAGCCAACTGAGAGTCACCATTTTTCAGAAAACAGAGGAGATTCGGATTTCGGTAATCCGACTCTACATATATTCGGATTACCGTGATCCGGTTTTTCCCAAATTTAATTTTTCAACACATTTTTTTTCTCTATCCGAAAATTAATATTTTATTCATAAATACGGATTTATAAAATCCGGATTTAGATTAATTACACTAATTTTTGTCATTAACTTAATATCGGATTTACGTAACACAAAGTCGGATTTTTATAATCCGAGTTTATTGGGGTTCGGATTTCCGAAATCCGAGTTTTACCCCCATTCGGATTTCCTAAATTCGGGACATATAAGTTTGTCCACAAAATTTTTAAGAAGTTTATTTTTGTCCAGGTTTTTTTCTTCGAATATGTTTAAGGAAAAAATTCGCCTCCCAAGGGTATACGCTTAATTGTTGAAACTATTTCTTCCAAAAGTTTATAAGTGGTAAAATCTCAAAAATATGATTTTAAAACTGGTTAATTGATGAAATTGGTTGATCACAAATATGAGAATGAAAATAATGTAAATTTGCATAGGTTTCAAGTTATACCAAAAAAGAACTCACCTCACCATGACAAATAAAAAAAAGAAAGTAAAAGATAGCCCATTTAAAATTGAGAAATTTTTTTTTCTGTAGGTAAAAATGTTGTATAAAAATACAAATAAACGTAGAAACATCATTCTTTCCCTCTCCGCCTCAAATTCATAAAAGGCTTCCTCAGAAATTAGTTAGAAGAAGCGATCTGAACTATTTAGATGATGAGAAACTAAAAAAAGTCCAAAAACCAAAATTCAAAAAGTATATTCTTGAAAGCCCGAACACAAAATAAAAACGCGCTTTATTTGCAATGAAATAAAATAATAATAATAATAATTGGTCAACTGGGAGTATGAAACAAAATAAAAAATAATTAAACAAAGAAAAAACACACTTCGTAACTGATCATATACGAAAAAAAAACTGAGACTCCATAATTAAAAAAAGAAAACCACTCTAATTGAATGAAACATTAAAAAGAAATTTAAAAAATCACACTTTGTAACAAAAACTCAATTAATCAATTCAATCCAAACAAAACTAAAATCATACAAAACTTCTAGGCTGACTAACTATATAAGAAATCACACCATATTACCTACAACGGCTACGGTAGCTGTAACGGATTGACGCATAAAAATAATAGTAATAACATTATTCTTGAACGGGAAAAATAAAAAATAATAAAAGCCAAACAAATGATCTGTGGAAATAAAATCATTTAAATTTTAATACCTGTAATTGCATCACCACAACGGCCGAAGCAAGATCAATGAGATTTTTTTTCCTTTGTGTTTATATAGAAAGGTAAAGAGAATATTTTTTGAAGTCGAAATTTTATCTTATCAGGACGTAGTTGATCATCACTAATGAAAAAATTAAACATGCTAATAGAAAATGAGTATATTTCACTACATATTCTCAATTGATGATTGATGAGAAATTTTTTTTTTTTTTCTATTGTGGAGAAGGGATTGATTAGGAAGTCGATTGTCGTGGAGATGTGGATGAAGATTTGGGTTTTTTATGAACCCGTCTTTTTTTTTTTTGGTTTTGGCAAAAATAGGAGGTGGAATTTAATTTAAACTGCATTTGACTTTTAAGTCTAGGAAATGTGAAAATAAAGATTTATTTTAAAAATATGATGTGGAAATACTACATGGCAAATGGTGGTGCTTTCTTTAAGTGTGGTTTTTGTTTCTAATATAGTAAGATATACAGCATCATACCGTGTAAATGTTCTCTCGGCGCAAAGAATGGAAGTAAATGAATCAAATGAATGACGGAAAAAATACAAACAAGTGGTAATTTAGATAACCCTAGCACAGTCACCGGCGTCGCAGATTATGACTGCCCTGTCTTGGTTGATTTGGCTGGCCAAATGTGGCTGGAGTTTGGCATATTCATTCTTAACAAACGATGCTGCTTCCGTTGCAGAGTCTGCATCAACGAATGCAATGCAGCATCCCCGAAAACCAGCACCGCTAAAGCGCGCTCCAAAGACACCGGGAGCCTTCACTAGTATTTCGTACAGTTGTATAAGAGGTTCACAACCTGGACCGGAGCACAAAATGACAACCTTTATGTGAAATTAGGCAAATTAAAGATGTCAAATTCGAAAAGGCATCGAGCAAAAAAAAAATGTAATTAAGAGCCAAATTCTCACAGATATGCCTATACACATATAGCTTAATGCTTAAACAATGAGTGATGATGCTTAGGCACATTGAGTTAATCAGAGAACAAAACAAAATTATTTAACAAAGGAATTTAGGTATGACCTTATCCAGCATCAAGCATGTTAGATTAATTTTAAGTACAGTTCAGCACCTCTTAATTACTTAAAACTCCTGAATTTTTAGTTATCAGACGTATCTCTTGATCTCTTCAGTTTAAGAATCGAGTTGGGTTAACAACAAGCTGCAAAGCTTATCTAAGTTACCAGGATAATTAAAAAGAGACCCAAGTAGATAACTCCAGGCCAAACCCAGATAACCTTCCTGTCAAATTGTTAAAGCAGTATGCAAAGCTGTAGCTGGTTAAGTCTTAGGCTAAGTTTGCGTTACAACCAAAAACGAAAGGCAAAAATCAGAAAATTTGAAAAAGGGAATCATGTTATTATAGAGAAAGTGAACTTTTACCACTTTCATAATTTCTAATTGAACTCAGACCAGACTCTGTGATAAGCCTTCCAAAATCTTTCAGATCCCCAGAAGCCCATGCCTCAAGTCCTACAGCCACCGAAAAAGTCATGGTCAATGTCAGAAAATTTATAAATAAAATTTACTAGCTTGGATCATGCATTTAGCAAAATTGTCTCAGAACCACTCACACCTTTAATAACACGACTGTTTTCTGAAAAATAGTGCTCTGCCCTTTTTGCTAGATTTGGTTCCAATACGTTCTGCAAAAGTGTGACAATATGCAAATAATAAAATTTACCAAACAATCCATACAAGGATTTCACTGGGTAAATTAACCAAAGGAAATGTGAAAAGAGCAAAGCTGCTTAAGCAAGCAATGACAAACGATTGAATGATTGATTATGAATTTCAAAAAATTACTAACGATTTGTCCTGCCCACTTGTTTTGTCCTAACTAGCATTTCATTAGTACTTACAACGATTAATTGCCAGGGAAGTTGATGCCATGAAGACATTAATCATCTATCTGTTCACACTTTTTAGACAATTTAGCCCCCCAAAAACAATATAAACTTGCACTCAAGACTGGGAATCTCCCATGGACAGAGAGAAAACAAGTCAGATGTGCCAAACCACTGAAGGATCTTTGGTAAAATCATTTTCTATACAAAGTAAAATCACAGGAGAAAAATGAATCCTCGTGCATTTATTGCAGCACCAATTTCCAGAAAGTTTGGTGTGTAAATTGAGCAATCAAGAAACTCCACAGAATCAGAATGGAAAAGAGATAAATATATATACATATTATATATATATATATATATATTCAAGAAAAGATTAATATCAGAGAACATATTTGCGACTCGTGCACAGTAGTGTTTGAAGAAAGATTTAGTTTGTAACGGGGAAAAAAAAAAGGACAGAGTTAGCGGGAGAAAAATGGAAAAGACTTACGGATTCGAGACTAATTAAGAGTTATAATATCTTATCAATATCCAACACTCTGAGAATATTCTTGAAATGATCATGTGATCCCTACCTTATGGGCCTCATATGTTTGTGATTCCACTGCATAAAGATTAGAAGATAACTTTAAGCTTAGAGAACGAGAACTGAATCTTGAACTCAGACAGAAGATGAAATTTCTCACCATTGGATAGCAGTGGTTCCATTCCTTCATTCCCAGAAGCCCTGTGTACATGGATTTTAAAGGTAAAAGTAACATCAGTTTTCTCTTATAGATGAACTCATCAAGCTTCAATAATAAAATAAATCAGCTACTGGAACAGATACAAACGTAGATGTTTCTTTAATACTTTGTAAGAACTCAAATATCTTATGAATTTAGTGAAAAACTATTTACCAACACCAGTCTTACATCTAAGAAAGTAGTGATAATTAGGACAATTTAAAATTCAGAAAGCAGAGATATTTCCTTTGTATATTCCTATATCTCATTCCCAAGTGATAGATCAGATCATAACACCGATTGTGCAATATGGCAAGGTGCCATTTAGTACTTTAAACTCGCTGTTTGTGGACAGACTGTTGAGAGCCTGATTCTCGGATCTAGAAAGCGTGATACATCTTTTTTTTAGTTGTTCATGCATGTACATACATACGTATTATTCTAATTTAGAGGCAGCCATGAAAGAGATTTTGATTCCATGGGGTTTTTCCTTATGTTTCTATGAAAAAGCTATTATGTGCAACAACATGCAGTTTCCCAATGTTGAGAAACTGATAACCAGAGGTATCATAATTATTGAGAGGATTCCCATCAAATTCTATAGACCATGGCATAACTTTATTTGAAAAATTCATAAGTTGTGATTTCCATTCTGCCCAAGGGATTTATCATTTCTATCTAATGCAATGGAAACAAGTATATGTGCAGTCTTTAGAAAATCTTACTCCAATAGAATCCGTGCAGCCTCTTGGCATTCAGCAACTCGGCGGTTATATCCTGGATTAGTAGTCAAAGCCTGCTTTAAGCCTGAAAAAGCAAGTAGTATCTTGTATGCATTCTTCACATTAGTTTTATGGCCTTTGTGCAGATTTGGAGAATGTACAAGCTTGTGGTCTTTGGTCTGCAATGGAGACAAGGTTCATGATAAACTTTCCAACAAACAGCCAAAACATAGAAGTAAAGATCTTAAGACTGGAGAATGATACTCCTAACATTATTTTTTTCACCGCGGGTTACATCCCTGGTTTATGTGAAAACATACATATGCTACATAATTTACACAAGGGTTCCAAATCATATCTAATCTTTCATGGTTTGTTCACATTGTTGCTTTGTAAGAGCTTTAAACTATAATAAACATCGTAAGTGATGAAACAAAACCAATCAAATGAAGAAGCAGGTGAAGAAAGAAAGAAAGAAAAAACAAATGCAAATACAGCCTGTATACATTCAAAGACTGACTACCAGCTAACCTATTATCAGATTATGGGAAACACTGGTGTACTTCCTGAAAGGACATGCCAAAAGTATTCTAGATTTGCAAGCAATTCATCTTTTAAGAAACTGAGTACAGAATCTAAAGATGTAACAGCTTTTAAGAGCAGGATAAAAAAACTTTAGATATTTATATTCGTATCCAAATCCTTTAACTGCGAGTTGAAATTTAACAAATTTTACTGGTTTCATCAACCTCATTAACTAGTAAAGACACCAAGGAAACGGAAACAAAGTGATATTGGTGTGTCCAACAGAAAAAATCATAGAATTTAGCCCATAAGATCGAAAAATGAAATATAATTTTTCAAGACAATGAAAACTAATTTCTCAATCCCTACTAGTCAGGCAGTTAGTGGTATACCTTGCAGTTCATACAAGTTAAGCAACCATAGCTTGATAGCAAAATAGCTGATTGATCCAATATTCCATTTCGCAACCCCAAAAATTCATTTTCAATCAGCCTACAAGTGCAAAAGATAGATAGTTAGCTTCTGAAAATCCTTAAGCCACACCATACAAAAAGGCAAATAACATAAAGCCCATTGTCCTTGGCTGTGGAGAATAAGAAAGAAAAGGTACCGAATTTAAACAACAGACTGTATCAATTAATTGCCAGTGGAAAACAAAGAAATAACCCAGGAGCACAATACAAACAACAAGGATAGAAGGGAGCAAACTGATATTGATGTAATTCTCAACTTCCAAAACTTGACAGCTGAAAACTAGTAATGCACAGGACCATATAACTATGACGGGATTCCCCTATTTAATTCTGAGAGGAACCTGGCAGCCGTAAGAAAGCGACTACTCAGATCTTCAAGAGATCAACAGATTAATTTGCTTAGGGGTGTGGCAGTTAACAGGCTAACAAGTGCAAAAAAAAATTTTAAAGAGTTCATGATGGAAACGTTAACAGGCTAAGTGCAAAAAGCGCTGCATCTTGGAATCAAACTCATGAGCTGTACATTAAGAGGTTACCTTCAGCATAAAGGTCATTCTTACAAATAAATGTTCATACTACACAGGTATCTTATTAAAAACGGAAGGAAAAAAATGACACATATATGACTAGCATGATAGTAGATGGACATTAGGAAGCATACCTATCATACTCGATATTTTCAGTTGGAGCTATGTTGAGTTTATTGGCAGTTTCAAATGCCATTAAATAAGCAATTCCCACCTGTTAAACATGCGAGAGACAATTTAGAGAGTAATTTCTGGAAGCAAAAAGGATAATTATGATATAGTTAAAATAGGAATTAAAGGCTTAGTTGCTGTCTTGATGGTGACTCACTCTACAACTCATACAGAAACAACTACCAGTACCAGATCATTGTAGTTAGAGAAGCGTGAGAATTCCCCTTAGCAAGAAGCAAACTAAAATTTGAACTAAATCAGAGTATGGATAAATTTACTCCCAAAAGAGAAAATCTATATAATGTCAAGAAACTTAGTAACCGCATTATATTCTTTTAACTTAAAAACCAGTAGAAGTGCTGAAAAATTGACTGGAACTATACAAGGTTATGCAGGTTAGCTACATCAGTTCTCCAGTGACCAAACATTGTACCGTAAAAGCTGATAAATGGAAGATATTTGGATTTTGTATTATGCCAGCCACACAAGTTCCCGCAAAACTAACTTGGTTATATACAAGCCAAAAGTGAAGCATTATGGGAAAATCAACAAAAATTCATTCTCGTTCAAAAGCCCAAAAATTATTTAGAAGCTCATAAGAACTGAAGATAAATAGAAACATCACAAACCCGTAGTCACCTTAACAAAAGCAGAAGAAGAGGGCAATAGCATGATCTTTAACCCAGAAAAGATCAAGATTCAGAAATACTGTTACTGCATTAATGGCTACAAAACTTTCAAGTTACTTGACGTTTTAGAATCATAGCTTGACTGCAGTGAACTATACAAGTTCCAAAGACTTTCCTAAGAACTTTACAGATGAATCAATTCTTAAGTCAGCAGAGAATCCTCATAATGCATAGGAAACGAAGCCTAAAGGAAGCACCTTTCTAACAAAGACCTAAAAGTTTCAGAGAGCCAATCAAGGAGAAGACAGATGAAGCCCATTGTAATTTTTATGAAATTGAAATGGAAGCAGATCGAGCTGCCATGATGCTAAAAAATTTGACAACATCAAATAGGACCAAAGCACTGGTCAGCCGAGGGAGTGATAACATTAGACACGAGGACCTGACAGCAAGTGAGAATCTGCATAACATCATTTTGGAGTCCCAGATTGAGTAGTTTTGCGGCAAAGTCAAACCAAATATTCTTTATTATGTAAGGAAGGAATTATTTGCCCACAGCAAGGTTCAGGACTATATCACACAAAACCCTTCATGTTTATTTCATCCTGCAATAAGTTTAAAGGCAAAGGACATTTTGTCATCAGGATTCTACCGAAAGGAAGTTGTTATTTTGTATATCAAATATTTTATGACTCGATAGAATTTATTTAAACCAGGCAAGATGAAGACAACATGCTCAAGGAATTCAAAATTAAGGATTAGCCTAATTAATTGTTAATAAGTTCTGTATCGCTGAAATACCTGAAGGAAACCCAATATAATATTAAATTAATAGCCCTTGATCAAGGATGTAATTACAGAGTGTCAGTGTTAGTTTCTTTACTTTCAGTGATTTACTGCTTTCCTGTCACGACATTTCCGCAAGACCTTATTAAGAACATTCAGAATTCTACTTCCCTTTATAAATCTTTGTTTCCAAAATCTATCAAGAAAGCAGAACCTTTTATAACAGGTTCCCCTAACTATGGAAGCTGAATCCTAAAGAAACATTCCTAAGTTTGTTGTCTTGTTCAAGAGAAGTAAAATGCAGATTTGCTTGGGATGTGATTGTTAAACGTTGCTTGGTGTGATACATCTATGTTATATGAGTGTTTCCTACAGAATTTTCAATTTCCAAGTAATTTTACCACAACGAATAGTTTTCTAATCCTCCAAAAAATTCCAGTTTTCCGCACTCATAGCCCTTGCTAAAATCATTAGCTTGAGCACAGGCTTGTGCTGCACCAAAATAACTAAGGAATCGGAAAGTGAGGCCTGAATACAGCTCATTAATTGTGCAGTTCAAAACCTACATAACTCTTGAAAGAAAAGAAATATCAGTTTGAATGATATGTTGAAAGAAAAATGTACATCATTTGATAAAATTATATTTTTCTGAAAGCTAATAATAAAGATGAAAAAAAGTAGGATAAATGGTCAAAGTAATAGCAGACTTCAGGTAAAAAGAAGACCCAAAAAAAAAAAAAAAGGAAAAGGAAAATAAGATTAGCAAAACTAGGGGAAAAAGGGATCTTACAGCTGCAGAGGAACTGAGACCTGAGCTGTCAAGACCATCAGAACCACAAATATATCCAATTATTCCCTGCAAAAGCATGATCATCCATCTTGACATTAGAAAATATTCAAGCAGTGAAAAAAGAAATTATAACCGAAGTAATATCTGAAAAATATGCAAACCAAAATAGGTTCGTGAAAATTCATTGTTACTTGGTTTGGTTATGAAAATCATTTTATTAATGCATTATAATCGGACATCACAGAGGCAAACTGAATCTTTTAAGGTACAATAATAAAAATCTTAAACAACCAAATCATCTACAGCAAAGCCTAATAATTCCAAATTTCTCGATAATTGCAGAAAGTTTTGAAACAAGAGATGACTGCTGATAAACAAGAGAATGATCCCATTGGCAAGCATCATTGAATGAATGCAGCAAAGAAAGATTCTTAAGAGGAAACAACGAAAATCATTCATGATTGAGGTATGTTTTCATATTAACCTGTGGAATACTATTCACAGCTTATACCTACTGGCTACTGAAATGTTCTGGAATTTGTGAGTCACAAATTTTATAACAATGATAAGTATTCTACAAAAGAAACCATTTTCTGTCTTCGAAAGGCCTAATGTAACACATGATGATACGATTTGTTATCTTATTTCCCAATGAGCAAAAAATGACAAACCAGTAACCTTTGTCAGACAATTTCCTCTTTTTTGTAGAGCGTAAACCGCACCCCTGGCATAGCTTCCCCAATTACATTCTTCCTTTGGTTTGGATGAGTCCTTTACTTGAATTGAACCGTTCGAACCATTTGAACCATTAGCACAGGTTGGCTGCTGCAATTGATCGACTCTGCAAAATGATGCTTTGAATCACCCTCAGAACCGAACGAATAATCAAGCTGACTCATGAGATGGATATGCTTTCTTTTAGATCATTGTTTACTAAAATTAAGCTAGGCTTTAATTTAGCATAGACGAAAAATTTTACTGAACAATGACGGAAAATCCGATTCTGTGACAGCTTGCGGTTTTGTAGGAAATAACTCATAAATCAACTCAAAGCTTCATAAAGTAATATTAAAAACACGATTGATCATGTCAAGAAAGCTAACTCATCGATAGGATTATTCATATCGAGAACCACCTATGAGGCACTTGTGTGTGTATGTGTGTGTGAGAGCGAGCGAGAGAGAGAGAGAGAGAGAGAGAGAGAGATAATTACAGGACCAGTTCAATCCACATTGACAGACAAGGCCAATCACTATGCAGTATTGCTTTAAGATAATTGTAAAGATATCTTTTATTTGTCAATGTATAAATAGAAAATATAAAGAAAAGTTTGCCTCTCAAGCAGTGGCTAGGTTGGCACTCAAATGACCATCTCTCTTGGATCCTACTTAAATACCACGTCAACTGATTTATAAGCAAGCAAATCTCAATAAAATCAATTTCAAGATCATTAGGAAATATAATAAGATACTAAGTTACCAATAGATGGAACTTGACAATCTATTTGCACTATATAGCAGTTCGCCTTGCAGGCTTTTGTACTATTGCTTATTGCTGCATATCAAAACTAGACTATAATTGTACATCCAATGTAAAAGGAAGCAGCGATAAAAATAGGGACAAGAAGTGAAAACAATCGAACGAGGAAATCAGTAAATGAAGTTCTTATTGAAGATAAATAAGTTGAGATATCATTTCTTACAAATCTCCAAGTGGTAAGAGTTAAGATGCACATATTAACCACCCTCTTAACATAAAGCAGAGCTAACAGTAAATGAGAACAGGCTGGAATGAACAGGAAAATAGATAACAGAAATGACTTGAGGCCAACTGTTGGAAGTTGAAAGGTAAGTCATCGAATGTTTACCTGAAACTAACTTCTCCTTCGAACTGCCCAGACGAGAGAAGCACCTAGAAAAAAGTTCCACAAAGAATCATCCATAAGTGTGACTAGGTTAACATCCTAGTATTTAATTTCTCGTTAATGCTCGAAATATCCTAGATGAACAAAATCCACTCTTTCTTTGAAAAGAGGAAAAGGCAAAAGCCTCTTTTCTGTTTCCAACTGCCTACGTATCCTAACCGAAGCAGTAGTTCACAAAATCCAATCTTAAGGTCCTCGAAAAGGCTCATATTTTCAAACAAAACTTTCAGCTCTAATAAGGGCGTTAATTCAAAATGGTTGAAATTTTTCAAGTCCATTATAATAGCAATGGTTGAATACATCTCCATGCAGTTCAGATGTGGTGCCTAATACGAAGGGGCTTTAACCTTAAAAAATAGAACACATGGCCCCTACATTCGTCATCTCGGAGCTTGCCTGAACTAGGTGAAAATAAGCCATGAAATACATCCTCTCCCATAGTCCCAAAAAGGCAACCGAAATACAAATAACCACCACATAACAGAAGTTCCTAATGAAAAGGTCACGAAGTTGGTTGCGATGCTCAAATACATAACATTGTGCTAAAAGACACAATCATACCTGAGGATCATCAGAAGGAACAAAACCAAGAAGTATACCCTTGTTGATTGTCATAGCAGAAACTATTCCACCCTACATAAAGGTAATAAGCATCAGTCTTTTACTTCTCAAATAGAAAACGAATCAACTTTAAAATTATATTCAAATCAATGGATAAATTGCAGAAAATCAATAAGGTAAGTATGTTCCAGAAAAAATCTCCAAACATTTATTTGAAAACAATCACAGTTACTTGTCATCAATCTACCTAAGATGCAGAAAACAAAGGTGCATCGAGCTCGCAAAGGATTGTTAATCAGGCGGCTAGCTAGGGAATAACAATTAATAAGCCAAAACGCATGCCGGGAATAAGCCTGAATTTATTCAGTACTTTATTGTCGGCACTCAGCACAATAACGCTCAAATACGTTACCCACAATATCTCATTACATCACATCATATTTAAAGCATGACGGGCAGACCTTCCGCAGAGCATTAGTAATTCACATTAACCACGACCAACACTTCCGTAAAATCTTCTTAAAAGATAAAAGAAACTCGTTCGATTAATAATCTAAAGCTAGACTCACCTGATGATCAATGTGAGCTCCCAGTGGACATATACGGTAAGGAGACACCACAAATCTAACTTCTTTAGCATCTCCACCAGAGAGCTTCACAACTTTCTCTCTTATTAAATCCAACTGCAATACAATCCAGATGAAAACGCTTAAGTTCTACACAGTCACCATATAAATGATTAGTGGAAAGAAAAACTCCCTAGAACAGCAAAATATTGGTAACCCCACATACTCATCAGAAGTTAAAACTTACTCACCCTAACAATTCCATCCACATTGCTGCTCAATCATTGTGATCTTATTCATCCTACAACCTTTTTAAATTTTTTTTTTTCAAAAAAAAAAAAAAAACCCAAATGCAAGCAGTGCAAAACAATGGCACAGATGGAAGCCAGAGAAAAGCATTGCATATGAAAAAACACAAGAAAAAAATTTATACTGACAACAAAATAAGAGCCAGCTACCTCATACTCAGAAGGCCAACATTCTGCATCCATCCTTCCAAGATGGTTCTTTTTTTCATACAAAATGTACAGTTTAACAGATTCACGCCAATGGGTTCTCTTTCCTCCTAGAAGTTGTTGGTTTATTTTAAGGAGACAATGATAAAAATCTGGCTTTGGTGGTGGGAAAGATATATGAAGTGCAGTTTAAGGTAAAAAGAAAGAAGATTATGGAAGGTGGTTGATGAAATATTTAAGTAACCAAGAAAAATGGTAGTTTATGATTGTGATTTGGCCTCAAAAAGTGGCCCCACGTGCGTTTGCAATGATGAGGCCCGTCCGGATTTTGTAGCCTGGTAAAAACCGAACTGAATATGTCGAACTATTTTTTTTCCTTCAATTTCTTACGCTATTTGTCGAAATTTTTCAGTTGATCTTTATATCTCTTAAATCTGTCACACTAGAATATTTTTTAATATTCAGAGTTCAAACCATCCTTCTATGACAAAATTTTCTTTGAGAGTTATGATTTATTTATGTTTAATTAATTGATTAATGAATTCACAAATTTAAACTCTACATTACTAAAAATTAAAATTCAAGTAAACTTTTCGTGATCTTCTAAATTTTATTTGTTACCCAACATCATTTCAACTCAATTAATACAAAATTTGATTTTAAGATTGAGGAAACCAACACTATGACATTATCCAGATTTTTATGAATCAAACCAATATCATTTTCGATTTTATTGGTAATCTGTTATAAATAAAGTTTTTTTAAAAAAACAATTTTATGGAACTCTTTTATTTCAAAATTTTTTTTGTAAAAAATAAATATGTATTGATGACTTTTCAACGAATGCATATTTACAACAAACTCATTTACAATGCCTACATCTCAAAAATATAAACCTGGCCATACATCAGTTCTAAATAACTCATCCAAAATTGCTATTTCAGCTGCTGACTTTTCCTTCCCTTTGCATTGCTCGATTCTCCAACATACCTCTTGTTTTATGAGCTTCACTAGTATCTCCTCTGTTCTAACCTTCCCTGTAAAAACCCTTACATTCCTCTCTTCTCATATGTGGCAAATAAATGCTGCCACAGCAGCATACAGGATGCCTCTCCTGAGTTTACATCTTTTCAACATTGTCATAATTCTGTTCCTCCACAGTCCCTGCTGACTAGGCAAGTGCATATCCAATCATTTAGTTACTTCTGAAAAGACTGATCTACTAAAACCACAACCAAAGAATAAATGTTCAGAGCTTTCAACATGTCGATTGCTATATACTCCCTCCGGTCCTTATTATAAGACATTTTGATTTCATCTTAGATTTTACCTAGAATGTCTTTTTAATTGGAATAAAAACCTTAAAAACATTTCATAATAATTAGGAGAATACAACGAACGTGAAAAGATATTTTTAAGGTTTTTTTCAATTAAAAAGACATCCTAGATTAACCTAAAACGAAATCAAAATGCCTTATAATAAGGACCGGAGGGAGTATAACATAATTAGAATCAGCAATAGGTAAATTCATTCGCAGCATTCTGTCTTTTGTCATCAGCTTGTTTTGCCAAAATAGCCAAACACAAAAGGAGTACTTTGGTACATTAATTCTGGACCCAATGAAAGAAGAAGCTGGCATTTTCTCACCTGCACCCAACAGCCACTGGTATCCTGAACTGATGGTGTATCTACCTGTGACAGTGTGTTTCCACTGATTACATCAAATTCATTCTTCACTCTATCTTTCAACATCATAATTTTCTTCCAATGCCAGCTTGAGTTAGCCTTGGCTTCCATTTCCCATAAATTTTTGTTTTTTTTTTTTTTATAAAAATGGCATGAATCCACCTAATCCAGAGAATGTCTGCTTTACTAGCAATGTTCCACACCTGTTTTATCCCAGCAGCAGTATTCCATATTTGAGCATCCTTAATGCTTAGCCCACCTTCTTTTTTATCTCTACATACCTGCCCCATAAGAAGGACCTGCACAATCTATTAATCAATTGAAGCCTCCCTGCATAACTCAAGTGTTTGGTGCTTCAACACCTGATTCTTGCAGCCATTTTTTGAATCAACATTTCACATTCTGTCTGATTTCATTTCCTGGGAGATATTGGTAACTCCCAAATATTTCATTGGGAATTTACCCTCTCTGAAACCAGTAATGCTGCATAATTCCTTCTTTCATTCCTCAGACATGCCACCAAAATAAATATCAGATTTAATATGATTAGCAACTAATCATTTTGTACTTGAGAATCTCGCCAAGACCTCCATGATTTTCTAAACAGTATACACATCTGCTTTGCAGAAGATCATAAGATCATTTGGAAACAGATGTTTGTTATCTTGAGGTTTTTGCAGAATGGGTGGAACTGAAAATTTTCATCATCAGCTGCTTTCTTCATCAATCTGATTAAGTATTCTATTGTCAGCACAAAAAGTAGCTGTGACATTGGGTCACCTTGGCGTAAGCCCCTTTTTCATGCGAAGAAACCACAATTTTCGCGTTTAACTTCACTATGAAGGAGGTAGAAGTGACGCATTCCATGACCCTAGCAGAAAAAGACTCAAGGAACCTGAAACCATCTAGCATTTCAGCAATGAAGTCCCACTCCACTGAGTCATAAGCTTTCCGTAAATCAATCTTCAGAAGATATCTCCCATTGATATTCTTTCGGCCATGTAGTCTGATGAGCTCTTGGATGATCAACACGTTATGAGTATCATTCTGTTGCTCACAAATGCAGCTTGGTTCGAATCCACCAGACTGGTTAGCGCACCTTTAATCTTCTCACACAGAATCTTTGAGATAGCTTTATATATTACATTGTAGCATGCAATGGGACGATACTCCATTGCATTCTGAGGGTTTTCAGTCTTAGGGATTAAGGCTAAGGCAGTAGAGTTTATCTACTTTAGTAACTTCCCATTTTCAAAAAATTCTAACACAGCTCCAACAACGTCCTTCTTTATTATCTTCCAGGCTCCTTTATACAAGCCGCTGCCAAAACCATCCGGTCTAGGGCTTTTGTTCTTGTCAATTCCCCATATTTCCTTCTTTACGTCGTTTTCAGTTACTTCCGTAAGCATCTAAACCTGTTGCTGCCAGCTGAGGACAGGACCTTGGGCAAAAACCTCTTTTCGCACATTTTCTCGTTTACTGTTCTGTCCTAGTTGCCTTTGAAAGAAATCCACAAAGTGCTGTCTGACCTTATCCCAATCTTTGATCAATTCATCATTCTCCGTGACTGAATATATCCTGTTCTGCATCTGGCGTATTTTCAGTCTGGCATGAAAATACGCCATATTTGCATCCCCCTCTTTCTCTTTAATCTTCTGTTGCAAAAAACTCTCTACTGCCTTGTTTATCTGGAAAAATCTCTCCCTAATAACTTTTTCTTTTAGATGGAAGGCCTCATTTTCAGGCGAAGATGAACCTGTTCTTGTATTCGTTCCAATTCCATAGCCACCTGATGCGCTTGCATTTGAATATTCTCAAATTTGGTTTTGTTCAGCTCTTTCAAAGCACCCTTGATCCTCTTCAGCTTGAACACCAATTGATACATCTTAGTCCTTGTTACTTTAGTTGCCTAATTTTCTGAAATCACCTTGGCAAACAATTCGTCTTGCACCCACATGTTGAAAAATTAAATGGTCTAAGTTGATTTACTCGCTCCTCATCCATTTGCACCTTAATTGGAGTGTGATCTGAGACTCCCTCATTCATTACTGTTGCTAGAATATTTGGATGGTTGATGATCCAATCTCCATTAACCAGTACACGATCAATTCTAGACCAAATTCTTGTTAGATCATGTATATATGTGCCCCTGCTGCATCAAGTCTTGCAATTCGCATCCATCAACACATCTCTAGAAATCCTGTATTTCAGCCACTGTCACCTTACTACCACCTATCCTCTCCTCCTCCGTCAATATATTGTTGAAATCACCCATAACTAACCAATCCCTATTGATGCTTGGTGCAATACCAATCAACTCTTCGCACAAACAATCTCTTTCTGAACTGGCATTGGAACCATATACTATAGTGCAAAAGAAACCTGTGCTACTACTAAGAACATCTACCCAACAATGAATAAATTGAACATGCATCGATATAACAGTCAGCTTAATAAGTTTAGGGTTCCAAATAACACAAATCCTACCCCTTCCATGAAATTGATAACTACCTGCATATTCATACCCTTGCCAGAATTTAAGCATCATCTCAATATATCTTTCAGCTGTCAATTTTGTTTCTACTATATTTAATAAACTTTTAATAAACTTATTTTATGAAAATCTACTATTCTACTTAACTTCTTCTGATTTTCGGGGCTATTAAGTCCCCGAATATTCCAATATAAGATATTAAACAGATACCTGGATCAGGTGGTGCCCTTGCCTTGTTGTTGCCATTTTCCTTTCCCTTTGCTTGCTATTGGCTAGTTTGATCCTCCAAACTAGGGTTCATAGGTTTATCCAGTTGCAGTTAACTGAAAACATTTGGTGAGGGGACAATCTTTTTCTTCCCTTTATCTTTCTGCTTCACAATCCCCTCAGGAGGTGTCTTTTCTTCAACTACATTCACTGTTCCCTGTGTTTCTGAGGCCTTGTTCTTCCTCTCAACTACTTTCCACTCAGATGATATTTTACTTTTCTTCGTTCCTTCTTCCACACTTGCCTATTGTACTGGTTTCCATTGCCTTCTTCCTACAATCCTCCTCCCCGTAGCCATAATTCTTGCAATGCTTGCACTGGGTTGGCCTCCACTCATAATACACTGGCTGCTCAACAACCCAGCCAGTTTCATCCACAAAATGAGCCACTAATGGAGGCAAATCCTGTATTTCCACTTCAACCCAAACCCTGGCAAATGTTGCCCGATCCTTAGCTGCAGTGAACTTATCTGCTGCAAGAGGTCTCCCCAATGTGCTAGCTATCCTGCTAAGTGTTGAGGGGTTCCAGTATTTAAGTTCAAGACATGTAGTTGCAACCAGATAGGCACATGAGTTATCTCTTTATAATTTACCCCCTTATCTATTTTTCACGGTTTAATTATGACCGGATTAGATCCCATTTATAGAGTAGGCATTGCTAAGTGATGAAGCATGGATTTGTACGGAGCCTCGGGTGTCTCCCGAGGGTAGACTCTCTGATGCTTAAGTCAATAAGGGAATAGAGAGAATAGAGAGAGAAGGATGTGTATCGTGTGTAGAAGGTGTAGAAGATAGGTAGAAGATATGAATTATGGGAGAGGCACCACCTCTTTATATAGAGGTGGTGTTACCTATTTCCTGAAACCCTAACAGAATAGGTTTAGGCGGTGGCTTAATTTCCAAGTAATCTAATCCTAGGCCCAATAGGCCTAGGGTTAATTTATGACTCGTCACTAAGGCTTTCTTCATCGATTCCACACTATGAAACCTAATCACAAACAATCCATTTGGAAGAAAAAGCACTTTATCAACTCCTAGATTACTCCATATCTTCTTGTAATAGCTTTCCATGATGATTTCCAATAGTTCGCTTCCGACAGGATATCTGGTTTCTGCACTAACGCCACTTTCAGCCCATCTTGTTCTTCCTGTGGGACATAATCTAGAGGCACACCCACATTTCTTAGCTTCTTGGCATCAAAAGTATCCCAAGCCGTAGCCCCTTTCCTCGCTCCTTGCTTTGTTGTTGAGGACCAATCTAATTTCCTTGTCGTGGTGATGCCTGGCAATTCGCTCAACGATCGTTTGCTACTCTCTAACTTGCTCCTCATCTTTCTGATTTAGATTTGCCGATTTAAGAATTCTCGATGAACTAGGTTTGCTCCCCATATCTGTTTCTTCCTTCTCTTATCAACCAATTCCTTCGGTGAAATCACTCTCCCTATCTTTTCCTTTTCGATTCCTGTATTTTTAGGTGCTTGTCTGGCCTTCGTCTTCCCCTTCTCCATGGCGGGGCGTAAGTTAGTTAACGTGCGCCGAGAGAATGGTGAAGACGAGATTTTGAGGATGGTGAAACTTCAAAATTTATTTTCAATTTTCGAGTCTCATTTAAATATAAAAATAAAAGACGATAAAAGAAACACGCTCGCTCTGTCTCAATAAAACACTAAGTGAGAGAAGAAATATCATGATTCACGATACATGCATTGTCGATATTTTCACTTATATTTCTTTTGAGTTATTAATTCTACCTCAATTTTTTTTAACAAAATATGTCAATTATTTATAGATTAGAATTCAATTATGACACACAAAACTAAGGAATATCTTGATTCATGATGTAGTACATGTATTGTCCATATTTTCACTCTTAATTTTGTTTTTCACAAAATATGTCAATTATAAATTAGAATTCAATTATGACGACAAAACTAGTTTTTTAAAAAACAAATAGAATGCATTTTACTTTATTTTTGGAATGAAAAGAGAGAGCCTATTATTATCGCCTCTCTCGACAAAGTTGTCACTGACACATACTATGAAACAGAGATCACTCCCCTCTTTCCACTGAATCGAAGCGTTTTTTATCCCGCGAAATCCGCCTTCCATTGAAATTCTCGGAATGGAGCTTCTCCATTGCCCCACAATCTCATCATACTCTCCCAAATTCATCCACAATTCCGTCACCTTACTCGTAAATCAATCACAGTGTAGTACCAATTGGCTCAAGCCTTCGATTAATTCGAGTAAAAAAAGAAGCTCTCCGGTTTTGGTGATCAATGCGGCCGGCGGTGGCGACGGAGGCGTCGAGACTGCGACGGAGACGGTGGAGAAGCCTACAGCGAAACCACGTGCTTTTGAAGTTTTTGATGGATATCCGTTGCCTTTCGGTGCTACTGCCAGAGATGGTGGAGTCAATTTCTCAATTGTTTCTGGAAATGCCACTTCCGCTACTCTCTGCTTGATTAGCCGAAACGATTTGCCTGAGGCAAGCCCTTTACCGTTTTAATCTTTTTGATTTTCATAACGAAAATAAAAATAAATCCAATCTACTTTATATTCTGAAGAGCACTTGAACAAAAGGAAAGTAAATTACAAACAATCGTTGTTTTCCCCCTTCAAAGTAAATAAAATGAAAACTGTTGTTATCGCGCAAGTGGTACTATGAGTTTATCAACCTCTCTGATGATTGGCCATAATGTATGTAATTAACTCTGTTTGTTTTAGTTTCTGCTGCTATTTGAATTTTTTGAAATGCATCAATTTGATGCTTATTGATGAACTAGTTGAACGGATTTTGAACTATAAGCGTGGTAATTAATGCTTTTCTGCTAGCTCGATGGGGTAACTAATGAAAATTAGTCTTAGAGTTCATAACATGTAGGTTTTTTTTTTTTTTTTTTGTGGTTGTTGTTGTTGTTGTTGTTTTTGTTGTTGTTGGTAATTAGTTAAAGTGAAGAATAATTTGAACCTGGGGGCTTGGTGATATATTGTAATTATTTTGATTTCTGCAGAAGAGAGTGACTGAGCAAATATTTTTGGATCCACTGACTAATAGGACTGGAGACGTGTGGCATGTATTTTTGAAGGGAGATTTCCAGGATATGCTTTATGGGTACAAATTGGACGGCAAGTTTTCTCCTGAGGAAGGACATTACTTTGACTCTTCTAAAATATTACTGGATCCTTATGCCAAGGTTAAGCCCCATGATTTCAGGAAACTTTTCTACTCTTTCTTATGTTGTTGCGGAGGATATCAAATGAGCAGAAACTTGTTCTTCTATGTTGATTGTCATACTATGCGTATGTGCAATGTTCTTAATCATTGTCTTTGAATATCATGTCAGGGTGTAATAAGCAGAGAGGAGTTTGGTGTTCTGGAACGTGAGGATGAATGTTGGTCTCCAATGGCTGGGCTTGTGCCTTCTGATGTTGATCAGGTACCTTCTAATATATGTTATGCTAAAACTGGTAGTAGAAGTTAATAAAATATTTCTGCAAGCTTGGTTCTGCTCTCGATTTGATCAGTTGTTGAGTTAAAAACCCTTATTTCCTGCTAACTGGAAACTGGTTTGAACCGCAGATGATTCTGTTCACAGTAAAGTATTACGTGTCTTGTAATTGCTTTACGTGTCTTGATGTTGTTGTTGTATAGCCTTATTAGATGAATTGCTGAGAGAAACACAACTTAGGTGGTTTTTTGCAAGTTCGTAGGAGACCTTTGAATATCCTAATGGGTGGACATATTATAGCAAGGTTAACTTAGTTGAAAGAGAAAGGAGAAGGGGTAAATAAAAAAGAAACTAGAACCAAAATATTGTAAAAACATACAATTTATTTAAACCTTAAGAATATGTGTGTTGATAGAATGCAATAGCATTATGTCATCCAGATGACCAAACCCCATAGAGTCGGAAAAGGCTTTTCTGTCGTAGTTATTGGGGATTCCATTCTGATTCTGATGTCGCTCTCTCTCTCTCTCTCTCTCTCTCTCTCTCTCCCTCCCTCTCTCTCTAATTATTCTTTGCAGTTTGACTGGGAAGGTGATTTACCTTTGAAGTTTTCACAGAGGGATCTAATAATCTATGAAATGCATGTTCGTGGATTCACAAAGCATGAGTCAAGCAGAGTGGACAGTCCTGGCACTTACCTTGGTGTCATTGAAAAACTTGATTATTTGAAGGTAGAAACCAGTTCACATTACATTTCCAAGTCTGATACCATTTCCAGAATTTAGGTCTTACTAAGCATCCTTACGGTGTTTTTCTTGCTAATCAATAACTAGTTCATTCAGATGATACATCCTTTTTCACCTGAAAATATGTATATTTTGCATTTAAGCTTTTGAACGTCTCAGTTTGAATGCAACCAATTTCTGTCTCTTTGTGCCAGTGCAAACCTTTTGGGTGCTTTGGCCAAAAAAATTTCCAAAAAAAGATGTGGACAAAAATTACTTTTTTCTATTTTTGGTGGACAAAACTAGTTGTCTCGGATTTGCCAAATCCAAATCTATCCATTTTGTATTAGATTCGAATTTGGCAAATCCAAATCTACCCAATAGAATTGATTCATCACATAGATTCGGATTTGCCAAATCCGAATCTAGTTCAAAATGGATAGATTCGGATTTGGCAAATCCGAGACAACTAGATTTGTCCACACCACTCCGGGACATATATTTTTGTACAGGTCCTTCCATTGAAAATTATTTGGGTAAAAAACTCAAACCTTTTTGCTTGAACTTATTAGTAGTAAAAGAAAATATGCTATTGTGATTCTCTGCTTTGATCTTGGATGAGACAGATATTTTTAGACCATTGGTGTTATATTCCCTCCACAAAGCTGAAACTTTAGGGTGCTCTGCAAAAAATGTGCAATTTTACCTTAAGACCTTGGAAATAGTTCATTCTCAAATTGACCATCTCACATCAGAATGGAGTTTTAGAAAGCAATATAGAATGCTTGGATACCAGTTCTGGAATCTGTTTACGAAGTTGAAAGATCCAGGAAAAAAAGTTTCTTTCTTGAAAGCAGATTTCAAATACATGAAGGACTGGAGAGGAAAAGCTGGATCAATTGGTTAGCCTAAGTTCAATAGATGGTTCAGTAGAAGACTTGAAATTCATAGCATTCTCTGTTCAATTAACAAAAGCTATTGTTATGAACGCAAAGGAGTCTCTCTATCTAGTCATTGGCAACCATACTTGACATGTTGTTTCTTAATCTTCAAGTTGATCTCATTCTTTTATGCTCACCAAGTGACTCAATTCTAGTTACGAACACACAAAAGTTAACTTTGGGGAGGTTTATCAAAGTGGTGTAGTTTCACAGGAACACTCTTTATGTAATCTATCGTGTTGATTAAGAATTGGGGGTATTACCATGACATAAGTATCGTCAGTCTCAAATCAGTATCAACATTAGGTCTTAGATGTAAACGTAAGCATTTAATTTTTTATGTCATGTTACATTCTGATGTACAAGTTATAGGTACAATTTCCAGAAGGTTGGTCCGTCAGTCTATAGTATTCTTTGTGATATTTTGAAATTATAGATTTCTTAGAATGCCCTCGGCCAATTATGGTGTCTTTTGATGTTCATTTGTAGCATTAGAAGTAGTGTAAAATTTACAAATCGGAAAAATACTGAAGTGATGAGTTCAGTTGTTTTGAGTTTTAGATGTTTGGCTTTAGAGTCAATTTATCTAAGCTGCGTCTTTATGTTTGTTATCAATGCCTCCAATGACTTTTACATAGCTGTCTATTAACTTGCACCTGCTCTTTGATCTTTCAATTTTACTTAAAACTTAATGAAACCTGCTTGGGTAGACACTTTTGTGGTGAGTGTTAATTTATGCAGTCACGCTGATCTTTTCATTTCACTTTGAACTTCATGAAAGCTGCTGGTGAGTGTTAAATTTGTATCGTAATATTCTCTTTATTTTTTAATTTTCGTGCAGGAGCTTGGTATCAATTGTATAGAGTTGATGCCATGCAATGAATTCAATGAGCTGGAATACTACAGCTATAATTCTTTCTTAGGCGACTATAAGTAAACATTTTGAACTTTCTTCTGAATTTTTAATCTGTTCCCATAATTGATTATGAGTTTGTTTTGGGGTTAGACATGAGAAATTTAGTTGTAATGAGCAGTCCATTTCAGAATTTGTTCTACTGTTACTTTCTTCCTGTCATCATCAATCATGGTCTATCATTTGCTTACTAGTGATTGCTGTTTGTCTTATGAGATTCTTTTGCCTTTTCAGGGTGAACTTCTGGGGATATTCTACTGTTAACTTTTTTTCACCAATGAAAAGATACTCATCAGCTGGTGCTGATGCTATCAAGGAATTCAAAACTCTTGTTAGAGAAGCTCATAAACGAGGAATTGAGGTGACAATCTACTCCATTTAGTGAGAATTAGGTTTCATATTCTCAGGTGATCATAAACGACATCCTCTTCTTGTCACTCTTATTTTGTTTGACAGGTGATCATGGATGTCGTTTTCAACCACACCGCCGAAGGGAACGAGAATGGTCCAATAATATCATTTAGAGGTGTGGATAACAGTGTATTCTATATGCTGGCGCCAAAGGTAAGCATCACTTGTGAGTGATGTATTTTCATAAATGTCCTTTTCTTTGTTTGTTTCTCTATTTCACTCCCATTTACCTTCTAGACCTACTGATTCTGTGCTAAAATCTCGTTTCTTTAGTTTCTGTGCTACCAGACAAGTGTGCTTGTTTTCTTTTTCCCTGTTTGAGTCCTCAGAAGCTTAATGAAAAGACACTGGTTTTGGCGATTGGCATAGTAAACTTACTGGAATAAGTTTCTACATTCTTATCTTTGGGAAAGGATAATTGTTTATTTCTTAGGTTGAAATAGGTTTTTACGAGATCCTAGTTCAATATTTCGAGTTCTGTTGCAAAGTTTACAATTGCACATGCTCGACTATTTGTGTGACAAATCATTAAACTAAACAAATAAAATTAAGTTTACTGACACTTTCTGATTTATGAAGAATTGTGAGAAATCATAGAACAAATTTTCGCTTTTTGCCTGATAATGTGTGAAGCACCTTTGGCTGTTACACTTTGAAGTTTGAATGTCCTATTTGATGCTAATATCTTTATACGATTTAGTGGGCAGTCGTAGTTGTGAAAAAATAGATTTTATTTTTGTGTACTGATGTAATAACTGGCTCTGCAGGGGGAGTTCTATAATTACTCAGGTTGTGGAAATACATTCAACTGCAATCATCCTCTTGTTCGTCAGTTTATCTTGGATTGCCTGAGGTGAATTTGCTAGGAACTGATCCTTATATCTTCTTACCATTCTCTTCACTGCATTCACTGGATTTTTCATTTCCTCTTTATACGTTTTCTATTATGGTTCCTGATCATTTATATTTAAAAGTCTGATTTCCTGATATTCACTGCCTGCTGTTTTTTCCTCCAACTTTGTCCTCAACTAATGCCTGAATAGAAATGATATGAATGAAACTCTAGACGGATTTCTCTCACATTTAATAATCGGTTTTTATTTTTGGTGAATATAATGGTATTCATTAGGTGTCTCTAATTCTCTCCATAACTCGGGTCTGTAGTAGAGACAATTTCTGTAGCTGGCTTGAACTGTACAACTAAGCCTTTATCCCACTATGTAGGGTCAGCTATATGCATCATTTGTCACCATTATGCTGTGGCAAAACAAATATTTTCATCGAAGTTCAAATTGACTCCCCCAACCCTCTTATTTGCTGGGTTTTGAAGTTTACTAAAGGTTATGCCAGTTATACGTTCTCATATTCTCCCCCTTTTTTTAACAGATACTGGGTCACAGAAATCCATGTGGATGGCTTTCGCTTTGATCTTGCTTCGATCCTGACACGTAGTAGCAGGTACTCTGTCACATAATTCTAGAGCATAGTTTAGTTGGGGAGAATTTTGAATGAGCTTCTACTTTGCAAACACTTTTGGTCCAGCCTCTGGGATGCATCCAATGCGTATGGAAAGTTAGTAGAAGGCGACAACATGACGACTGGTACTCCCCTTAGTACACCACCATTGATTGATTTGATTAGCAATGATCCAGTGTTGCGTGGAACAAAGGTTTGTTATATGTTATTGTTTTTTAGTTACTGTATCCTTTTGGTAGTTTAAATTATCCTGTTGGGAGTGTCAGTCGATCTTATGAATAATGCTGGAAGAAACTGATGGAAACCTGGAAATATCCTGTCTGTAAATTTGATCACTTGCTGATGATGTTTATGTATCCTTTCTCAATGAAATGGTTTGTTCTACTTAAATTGGGAAATAAATTGTGTACAGTATTGTGCCTCTTTGGCAGGTCGAAGATGTTCAGATTTACTGATGAGAATTAAAACTTTTATTTCTTTGTACCTCATGTAGTTCCTGTAATGTATGTTTTTTTGTTAATAAGCTCAGAGGCTTGATCCTCTAGCATTTGCCAAATTCTTAATATTTGTTTGTTTCTAAAATTTTCAGCTTATAGCCGAAGCATGGGACTGTGGAGGCCTTTACCAAGTGGGAAACTTTCCTCATTGGGGCCTTTGGTCGGAGTGGAATGGGAAGGTCAGTTGATTATTAGTTTGCCATGCAATTTCCTGGTCAACTTAAATAATGTACTGGAGAGAAGATAAAGATGTCAGTAAAGATGTGGGCTGACAGGCTGTACATTAGCACTTTAGCTGGTTAAAACCTGTAAGAATTTGATTTCATTGTGGTATCGGTTTATTTTCATATTCCATTAGTAAGTATGGCATGCATTGGGGGTGGGCGGAGGGAGAGAGAGTACAGCATGCATTGAAAGAAGCATGCATGAACGATAGTCTACAGAAATCGCTCATTGAACCAACTTGGCCTATTTGACGGAGTATTTAACTGTAACATTTACTTTTTCTGTTTTGGGATCACTATATTAATAAACATGGCACTTCTTAAGCTCTTAAGCCCTTGATAATGAGAGCTCAAGACAAATAATGACCAACTGGCATGCAAGGACTCTGGACTTGTTAGAGAATGGTTAATTTTCTCCGAACATGAATTCAATGCATGGAAGCTATTGAATTAGGCAATGTTAGTTTTCTGTTTGGCCAATATCCTACTCTGTGATACAGTGATAGTGTTGGGATTGGATAGGATCTTAATTCTGATTAGCATTTTTAGTTCCCTCTAGTTCTTTATTATTTCTTCTTGTTTTTGTAACTCTTTGGTGCTTGATGAAAAGATCACCATCTCAGAGTGAAGTTGGATATGTGTTTTTTTGCAGTACCGTGACATTGTACGGCAGTTCATTAAAGGTACTAATGGGTTCTCTGGGGCTTTTGCTGAATGTCTATGTGGGAGCCCTAACTTATATCAGGTACATCCCTCTGCTTGTGTTCTGCCCGTATCATAGTTCTCCTCTGACCTTTGGAATTAACCTGCAACATTAACTCTTATATGACGTTTGTTGTTTTAAGCTCTTCATCACTATTCGGCAGGGTTTATAACTTAGTACCGCACGATGAAAATTTTCTTATAGACATTGCTACTCCTTTCTTGTTGCTGACACATTTGGTTTATTGTTATATAGGAAGGTGGAAGGAAACCCTGGAACAGTATCAATTTTGTCTGTGCACATGATGGCTTTACTTTGGCTGATTTAGTAACATATAATAACAAAAACAACTTGGCGAATGGAGAAGATAATAAAGATGGGGAAAATCATAATAACAGTTGGAACTGCGGTCAGGTATATGCGACAGGAGCATCTAAGCCTTTATCTCATTAATTGGAAATTGGAATTTGCAGTATGGATCTTATCTCACCTTTGTGTTATGTCAAAGTACTTGTTCTCATGTAGGTTTGTGTATGATGTGTTATGGTTTTTCCCAAATCTGACACTCGCCAAATCTTTTATCCGTGTATGATTTTGTGCAGCCAATACTGGTTACAAAGTTATATTTTTGGTGTCAGTTAATGTATAAAAAACATCATTTACTTGAATTATCTTTAAAATGATATTCCTTTTGTGAATGAGAATAAACCTTATATGTTTCAAAAAATAACGTAAATTTTCATGGTATGCTGGGTAGGGATTGTTCAATCAGTTTCCATACTGTGCCATGATCATTAATTACATTTATAGCTTATTTGTTATGTGGGTGCAGGAAGGAGAGTTTGCTAGTATTTCTGTGAAGAAATTAAGGACAAGGCAAATGCGGAATTTCTTTCTTTGTCTCATGGTTTCCCAAGTAAATACATTCTTTTGAGCTCTTTTGATGAAGGCTAAATGCTGTTTGCTTATGTTAATTCAATTACCAACAATCAGCCTGTCATTCTTTTAGAGATATGGATATCGGCAATAATTATTTGAAGCACCCTTGTTCCTAATATTATGGGATTTTATTGGATGTGATGCAATGTTTTTTGCTTGCATGAGTTGCCTCGTTGTAAACCCTAATATTTGGCCAAAACAACAATTTACCAATGCTTTCCTTTCCAGGGTGTTCCCATGTTCTATATGGGGGATGAGTATGGCCATACAAAAGGAGGAAACAACAACACCTACTGCCATGACAACTATGTATACTTCTACAGCTCATTATAAACTTGTATGTTCATTACTACATTCCATTCTGTTTGGCCAACTGGGACTTTGGCTGCAGATCAATTACTTCCGTTGGGATAAGAAGGAAGAATCCTCATCAGATTTCCTGAGATTTTGCTGCCTCATGACTAAGTTTCGCCAGTAAGTTAGTAATCTCATGCATCATGGCTTAGAATCTTGGATTCTGCGCAGAAAAACTTAAAGTAGCTCCCCTAATTTTGTTCTTATGGGTTTCTGTAGTGAATGTGAGTCTCTAGGCTTAAATGACTTTCCAACGGCAGAGAGGTTGCAATGGCATGGTCATGCTCCTGGAGTGCCAGATTGGTCAGAAATGAGCCGATTTGTTGCTTTTACTCTGGTTTGTGCCCTATTGCGTGTTTCATATATATCATCATACCTCGTAGATTTGTGCATATTAATGTTGATGACTGAACCTCTTTGTTTGGCTGAATATAAGTCTGTAAAATGTGTGCTCACATTTGCACTTCAAGATCTATGGTTACATTTGTTGACCCTTGAACATGTCTATAGAACGAATGTGAACCATAAGCATCAGTTTGCTGGTCGTCCACTGCAACAATGATTAGTTACATTTCTGATTTCAAATTAAGTTTCTGAATGGTATAAACTATCAACGAATGAGAACTAATGTAAAACCTCTATACATGCAACAGCACTTTACCTATCCTCTGAAGTGTTTGCTCTTATTTTTTTAAACTTCTTAGTTTTTTGCTTGATTTGTATCAGCTTCCGGGGGATCTGGTTTTCTTGCTTTGTATGTGCCCTTTATACCTTCTATGCAAATATTGCCGTCCAAAGTGTTAATGCTAACTCTGTATGATCCGACCCAGACTGACTCGATCAAGGGAGAACTCTATGTCGCCTTCAACGCGAGCCATTTGCCTGTCACCATTACGTTGCCAGAAAGGCCCGGGTACAGGTGGGAACCCTTGGTGGATACTGCAAAACCTGCACCATTTGACTTCATCTCCTCTGATCTTCCTGAGAGAGAGATTGCAATCAAACAGTATTCTCATTTCCTCGATGCCAAACTCTACCCAATGCTTAGTTACTCTTCCATAATTTTGTTACTATCTCCAGATTCTACTGTATAAACTCGTCCTTGTTAGATAACGTTATTGGTAAATCCTGAATATAAAATGTAAATTAAATAGATGTATAGTGAATTTAATACTCCTTTTGTCCGGAACTAATTGTCCATGATTTTTATTTTTAGTCGTCTCCTGAAAATTATTATCTGATTTAGATTTTCAAATTTCAAATAAAAATTTAAATCGGACAAACATTTTAGAGCTAAGGGAGTATTTAAGGCTATCATTATTTTGCAGTCGTTGTTTTTCGACCTACCTCTGATCCTGAGTATTGATATGAGAGGTTTGATTTATCGAAATTAAAGAGAAACAAACGGCAACATGATTATAAATTATAATTTTGCTTGAGATATACGTTCTCAAATTTATAATCTAGGTTGAAGAATTCGATGTTATTCGGCACTGATCACTCAACTGGTAATTGCTCCAATTTGCTAAATGAGCTAAATTGATCCAATTTGCTAAACTGTTGTGTTTCTATTTTGAAAATATTGTGTAACTTAGGAAGGTAGAAAACTGCATTTGAGCAATAAAATAGTTCATATTGAAACTTTTATCTGATGTATTAGGATAAATCCAACGTGTATTTTTATTTGTGATATTTCAATTCCAATGCAATATTAAATATATATATATATATATTTTCTAATTTTACCTTCACCTCTTTCTACATTTTAATACTCCCTCCGTCCCATAATTATTGTCCAGTTTTACTAAAATAAAAAATTTTATTTTTGGTCAAACTTAACTATATTTTACCTTAAACAACCGGATATACCCTTACATAAGTAATTGTTTAACTACTAAGATTTTATGGATAATGTTTTTTATTAAAGACAAATGTGTAACTTGATCCATAAAAAGTCAAATTGGACAATAATTTTGGGACAAAATTTTTTGGGCAAAGTGGACAATAATTATGGGACGGAGGGAGTAATATATTTATTGATGGCAACTGCCTAATGTTCTAATTGTTTTTACTTTAAATTTTAATTATAGTATAACTAGTAGTCTTTCCTGCGGGTTATATTAGGTATACATTTATAAATTACATTGAATATTAATTGATATAATGGTGTTTGGAAGGTTCAGTTCTCATGTTTTTGATTGTTGTTAAATAGGCTAGGGACCTATTCACAATTGTTGAGCTTATAAGGTATGGAAATTGGGATATTCAGATTTATCCTTTTTAATTAACTTTGGATGAAAACTATGTGTTTCTTTACATCCTTATTATAATGCCCCATGATTCAATTTGGGAGTTCAGGTTGGGGGTCAGATTCGCAGTGACAATGATGATAAACCATCTGGTATCGCAGAAAACCAATACTTTCCACAACTGAATCTTCAAGAATAAATAGAGTTATGATGGTTGTTGCCTAGTCGATAAAACCTAAACTTCAATGACTTCCCGTCTCAATTACGCTGATCAATTGAATGCTTCCTCTGATTGCGGATAGAATATCAAAGTAAGAATATATTGAATTTAGGACAAACCTGTTTGGGATGGTCAAGCATAAGAGGGGTATGCATAAGTTGCTCCTCATGGATAAAAGGTTATATGTATATGTAGTATACCTATTGTTTACAAGTATTGTGCCGCTCAAGTTGCTTATTACTTCGTTTATTTGTTCATATATATTAATGGGTTCAATATATTAGGTTTACGAAAGAAATAATGAGAAAATTTTCTGTTAGCGCAAGATTTTCAAACACTTTAAAACATATGACATGTGTAGAAATATTTAGAAAGATTATTTTAAAAAAGTAAGAAAATACTTTTATGAGATATAAAATCATAAATCAACCACAAAAAAAAGAGATAGACTATAAGTTAAATTGGATGATTTAGAATACTAAAATTTATTCCAAATGTATTTAAAATAACAAAATACATTAACATTAAATATTACGCAATTGTAATTTATATCATTAAATATTATTCTTTTACATATATCACTCCATCGGAAATATCAATAATCGGACAAACAACTAAAATAAAAAATGGAAAAATCCAATTTGATGTAAAAAAAAAAAGAAAGTCCATGATGAGAAAAACCAATTCACCTATCAATATTGATTTCTACAGCTAAGTTAAAGTGTAACCATTAATCTATTATTTTTTTATTAGTTAGCGTATTGATTTTTATTTCAATTGGTAGTACTTCGATTGTAAATTATTTTAATGGTAACATATTATTTTGCCCCTTAACGGGCAATAGTAATAAATGATTAATGTTGATTACATTTTGTAAAAATTACAAAGAAAAAATCAAAAAAATAATAAGAATAAATATAATAATAATAAGTATCATATAATTATTTATTAATTGGCAAATTTTTTAATAATATAATGATTCATTATTGTATATAATATATTATATTATAAAATATAAATGAGTTAATTATAAATAAATATAAAAATATAATATATTCATTATATTTTTACATATGATATAATAGTAGAAAACCTTGATGTTGTGATGATAAAGCAAATTGTAAAGGTCAATAGTGAGAAATTTTTCTAAAATAAAAAAAAAAGATAGAGGTCTTTGTGAGAGACAGTAGTAGAAAATAGACATATTGATAAATTAAAAATAATTATATGGAGGAAAAACTTATATAGAGAATAAGAACATATGAAAAAAAAAGATAATAGTGAAAAATGAAATAAGTATTATATGTTTTCAAGAAATGAAACTTCAAATAGAGGTCATCAAATTTAGGGGGAGGAAAAAAAGGTGAAGATTATGCAACCAAGAAAAAGAACTGAAGTAAACAATATATTATAAGGAAAATATACGAATAAGTTTCTATAGAAATGTTGCAAAAGGTATATATAGAGACGGAAAATGAAGATAAGTTTATGGAAAAAAAATGAGGGATTATTTAAAAGATATGACGCAAATAGAAATATTTAAAGGGATCATTATGAAAAATTAAGAGAATACTTTTTAAAAGATATAAAGTCATAAATCAATAAAATGAAAAAAGATGGACTATAAGTTACATGGAATGATTTTGTATATTGAAAATTATTCCAAATGTATTTAAAATAATAAAACACACTGAAATTAAAAATTATATAATTTCAATTCATATCATTATTAATATATGTCGAAAACGTCATATATTTCATTCTTGTTTTAACAACAGAGGTGGTGATGGGCTTGTTTCTTTCATGATACACTACTTTTGATCCTACAGTGATAATGATTTATGCTTATACAACGATTGAAATTAATGACTAAACTATTCAATCGACTGGACCATATATATATATATATATATATATATATATATATATTTGCTTACAATACCAATAGGAGCAGTCTCTACTTTAAATCTCTCAAAACAAAGGGAAAAAAGAAACCCAAATTACTGGGCTACTATTCACGTTGCTGTGCAGCCTCCCTCCCCTAGTAATAACTAAAAGAACAAAAGAAAAAACCAGCAGGATTATGATTCATTTTCATGAACCACATTGAAAGTGATTTTACTAACCTCTAGGCAATGTCAATTTTATTAACATAAATTTAATTTTTCAGTCTTACAATAATTGTTCGATTTTTATTGTTATTTTTTATATATAATTTAAATAAAAAATTAAATTTTATTTTAGATTATCATTTTAGTACGAAAAAAATATTTATTTCATACTTTTATTGGTGGAGATATTACAACATTGAAGGTTGATACCGCCTAGTCCAACAAAATGGATTTATGGTCAAAATATGTTTCAATAAAATGCAATTTACTAAAGAAAACATCGGTCCGATGGATCGTAATTAGTTCAATTGCTTTAGAAAATGTGGCTTTTGGTTGTTCCTCTTTATGTCTAACTAGTGTTTACTCCACACATTGTGTGGGTTGTTCAAGATATATATGAGTTTAATGATATATAATATTTCCGATGGAGTGATAATACAAAAAAAATAATATTAATGATATAAATTACAATTGTGTAATATTTGGTATCAATGTGTTTTGTTATTTTAAGTACATTTATAAATTGGAATAATTTTCAATATTCAAAATCATCCAATATAACTTAATGTCCATCTTTTTCGTTTTATTGATTTATGGCTCATATCTTGTGAAAGCATTCTCTTACTCTTTTTATAATGATCTCTTTAAATATTTTATCCGTATCATATTTTTCAAACTCTCCATTTAACAAAAAGTTTTCTCATCATATCTCTCCATAATTAAACTTATCTTTATTTTCTATCTCTCTATATACTTTTTGAAACCTTTCTTTAGAAATTTGTTCGTGTATTTTTCCTGTAATATATTGTTTACTTCATTTCATTTTTGTTGTACAGTCTTCACCTTTTTCTTTTTCTAAATTTTGATGACCTCTCTTTAAAGATTCCTGAAAAGTTTGAAATAATAATTTTATTTTTACTACTATCTCGTTTTTTTTTTCATATTTTCTTATTCTCTGCATAATTTTTTCTTCCACATAATTATTTTTAATCTCTTAATATGCTTTTCTTCTAGTGCTTGTCTCTCATAATTTTTTTTTTCATTTAGGAAAACTTGCTCCCTATTGATCTGTAGATTTTATTTTTTTATTATCATAATAATTAACTTTTTCTACCATTATATATGAAAATAATATAATGAATCATCTAATTAAACTTTTTTATATTTTTATGCTGATTATCAATCTTCATAATGGTTAGAGGATTCATCATTGAAAATCGCATGCTACACTTGAATTCCAAGATGCATATGCAAAAAGAAAAAGGCAAAAAAAAAAAAACACTATTTAACACTGGTATGGGATATTATTTCTCTTAACAATAATGAAACAATTTTATTTTGGGCAACCAAAAATATGCATCTTATTATTTTCTTCTTTTATTTGGACGTGTTAATGTTATAAGAGTTAAATTAATTTAAATACTTAGTTCTTATAAATTTTTTTTAAAAAAACTTATCTTATTCAATACTGATATTTAATTATGTATAAATTTAATATTTTTTCTCCCGCACAA